TCTTACAGGGGGGTGAAAATACATTGCAAATGAATTTTTGTTGCTACTTCTGAAGGTAAAAAGACAAATTGTGCAATCTAGGGAATATTAGGCACATCTTAGTAGCAAAATGTTACTTTCCCAATTCAACAAAGAAATTGTTTGAATTGGGAAAGTAACATTTTGGGCAAAATCCAGATGAAATTACCAGTAAATAAATTCTCTTGAAATCGGAGAATTCCAAATGTGAATTTATTTACTGGTAATTTCATCTGGATTTTGCCCAAAATGTTACTTTCCCAATTCAAACAATTTCTTTGTTGCGTACTGTATAAAAAATCTGACTTCATTACTCTCATTTGATGTATCTTTCTAAAGTACATCTGGAAGGTACTGATCTCCTCCTATACCCTCAGGGACTCTCTTGAAGTTCTTTCAGTTAACATAAAAGCTAGTGTCAAAATTGTATAAAAAAGACTTTTAAAGTCATTAATTAATATACAGATAAAATTGCATGGCCAACTTATGAAACATTCACTGAGCAGTCATAAGCTGCAATTAATATGAAACATGTCTCTGCACTTCTGCTGCTTAAGTACAACATAATACAAGATCAAAGGAAAACAGGTCAAAGGGAAACATCAATAAATTTCAGCTCTTTTTCTATCTTTTTCACTTTCTTTAATTTCAGGGTAGGAGAATCAAGCTGGCAGCTCATTCTCAAAGTTCAAAATTAAAGTCTGCTTTCAATATTTATCTTATTACATTAACTAAATTAAAAAACACACCCTGTCAATACAAGTATTAGAGTTTGACACATCACTGACAACTTTCACAGGCTGCAGTACACTAGCAGGGACTATCACAGCCTCCCACTCTATAATACATAAGCAGCTTTAGAAGACAGCCCCTCCACACACACACACTATCTATACAGGAACTCCATTAATATGATTGAATTTGAAGGAGCTGGGATGTTTTATTTCGGACTGAGCATAATAGTGACTGAAATCCTACTGGCTCTCTTATTGCTGTGTCTGTAACATTAACCTTTTTGATTAAGTGAATAGTTGAAAAGATGAAGGGTGCAGTCCTGTGGCCCTGAAAGCAAGAAGAGTGTGCTGAGCTTCCCCATAGACGCCAGTAGCTGCCATAATACTGGGGCTTGAAATATAGCATCCAGTCCCTACACTCCAGGACTCATGCACCTCCCTTGGGAATATCCAGTATCTTGTTCTTCATGGCTCCAGATATGGCTCTGTTCCCATTTTTCCAGGAGTAGCCTGGACAGCAAAGAAGTTCAAAATGCCCCAGAAGAAGCGATAAAGACCTTCACTTGGGGATTACAATGTGGCTACAATGCTATATGAAACAGCAATGTTAAAGCAACCTGGCAATGATCCAGGAAGGCTATTTAAAAGCTTCTATGGGGTGTCTCCATATGACCGTTTGTGCATCCAGGGCCAGCAGTAGTATACCCTTCACTTTTTTCTTTTATTATACCAATCAAAACAGCTTATAATGAAACAGCTTATAATAAAATGATGCATTAGGAGATCTACTGCAAATCCAAAATACAATCCACACCAATTTATCTACTATGCCTTTTAACTACACTTTTCTCTCCACAACACACACACTTAACCATATTTAAAGTGACAGGAACTTGACTAGTTTGGCCCTTAGTCCTCATGTGTCCATTTTGGCACAGTAAATAGTTGCTTTCATTCCATCAGAATGCTTTTTTACAACATTCATTGTTGATGTTATATTAAAATGATATGGCAAAATCCCCCAGTGATTATGATTCTATATAACAAAAGATTTGGCAATGACTTCAGGTGAAAATTGTGGAGTAACATGCAGATGCTGACTACATAAAGGAGAAATTGTGCAACCATGATATAGAGGAGACCATTAAAAAGCTTCTTGCTATCCCAAGATCCCAGACATTAGATAGGTTTATGAAATGTGTTTCCTCAAATTATTTGGCAACATGTATGATTTCACATCAAGCACCTATGAGGGGAAGCAGAGTATAATATCAGTTGATTAAACAGAAGTTAGTAATACTGTGTAAAGTTTCATTTCCCCCGTTTTTTCCGAAATAGCTCATTAATGCACAACCAGCAAAGAGGATGACCTATGGAGCTACTATGCACAGTAGGTTTCACTAAGGAATGCCTTTGTCTCACACAGCCTTGAGGATGTGTCATGTGATGGAAGACGGCAAACATGTCATGGACTGGAGGAGTAAGATTGCTACACATCAAAAAATGAAAAAGCTGAGTTCACTAGTTGCTAGTTTGCTATTAGGAACAAATCTCCTGATTGAGTAGAGCGGAAAGGTCCACATATTTTGGCTGGGATTAGTAGTCAACCATTTCTAGTTGCCAGTTAACCATTGATTCTAGAAGCAAATGAGTCTCAAGCCGCATTTCTTTTGTACCTACTATCCAATGAGGAGATTAAGGTTGGCAGGTTGAGTCCTTGTTACTGTTCACAGTAGTAGCTCTCTATTGGTCTTTGAAAACCAAGCAGACAGCTCTCCGTGTTATTGGCATTATTATAGCACTTTATTACTGGCTTAGTTACTGAATGTTTTGAACATTAATCTGCTATTCAAAAATGTACTTATTATAGAACCTAGTAATGGAAAACTTTTTTAACAAAAATGCCGAAGCAGACCAAAGCAAACAATTTTGAAAGTACAACTGTAATAGAATCCAATCCCACCCAACTCTGCCCATCTCTGAATCCAAGGAGAAGGGGAACAACATGCACTCTCCCATTTCTACCTCCTCCACACTGCAGGCAAGCTACTACAGCCCAAATTAATATAAACTTCTGATCAACCTAAATCCAAGCACTTTACTGTAACCAAGTTGTGGATTAGCCAGCAAAACAGGCAAGCAGCTTCATTATCTTTTATCAACAAATCCTAATCATATTCCTCATGAACAATTACATACAACATACATTCAGGTAATTATTATTGTTGTCAGAACTATCTAAGACAAGAAGCTTGGAATTACAAGGAGCGAGTACTTGTTGTTAGTGAACTAATTCTGCATTAGGATGCCTCGCGTACTTGATTTCACAACTTCTGTGGCATCTCAGGCTTGTAGAGCCAGGACAGCAGTTCTCTTTGCAATGTATCAGCAGGTTGATCCTCTGCATGTTTATTCAGAAATAAGTCTCACTGAGTTCAGTGAGTCTAATTCCTAAGTAAATGTGCATAGGGCTGCAATTCTAGTAAAAGGAATTTGCTCAGCAACAAATAAGCATTCTGACACACCTCTAGTCCTATGTAGAATGTGGGTGGAGTTGTAGATACTGTATGAGGAAAAGTAAAGCATTGTGGAAGCTTGGATAGAGAATGTCCAAATTTGGATGTGCATTTAGATTCACATCCTATCTGCACCCACAGTTCCTGATCTAACAAGTGATATGTAGTAGAAGCCTACACATGATGACTCTTCTTATCTGAATTGGGGTGAGAATGTGCAGGCCACCAATTCAGTCTCCAAATTGTTCACTTGTCTTCATCCTGTTTTTCAGTGCTGATATTTCCTGATTATGAGTATTTTACAAGGATTTTGTTTTTAAAGCAGGTCAAAATATGAAGTGCTGGAACTGAGACCTAAATGGTTGGATTCAGTCGGATAAATATTTCTTAATTCTAAATAATCTTCATATTTTCAAACATTAACCTAAATCCAACCTTTAAAAGTTTTAAATACAAGGGGTTGTCTCCAAAGCAGTGCCTTCAGTGCAGTGGCACCTCTATTTCCAATTCTTCTATCCCCCCCAACCCAACATTCTTTAAAGGGGTCCCCAACCCTCTGGATCTGATTTTAGGGGCACACAAAGGGCTGCGGTAGAGAGAAGAGGGTGGAAAAGTTCTGCTAGTACACATCCATTGTGCTAGAAGAACAGGAGCACTGGATACTGCCCAAGTTACCTTCAACATTTTGTACTGTTCAGAATTCTTTAAACTTTACATTAAAAAAAACACCCATACATCCCAATTAAATTAGTAGCGTCTTAATACATGAACTATTTATAATTAATGGATCTAAACTTATACTCCAGGTACGCCACTTACGTTTCACTAAGTTAAATAAGTTTTGAAATCAACGTTTTGGATCAGGACATAAGTCATACATCAATCCATTTATGATATAATTCATTTTCCTCCTCTTTCACACCCTTCTGTTTTAAAAGTAAACTGTAACAATAAATTGTAATGCTTTCAGTAGACAATAGTGCAGATATGGAACTTGCATTTGTACAAAAAGGTAAAAGAAGAGACTTTTAACATAAAGGAAACTTGAGACAAAACTACTTACATATTTCAAACATAAACAACTTATGTTAAAAAGCAAGGAGATTCCATCTCAAATCTTAAGCCTCTTTGCTTTAATCATAATCATAAGGCTTTTCAACAGAATCATAAAAATTTTCAACAGACCAGAATGCATAGCTGTCAACTTTTCCCTTTTCTTGCGAGGAATCCTATTCGGAATAAGGGAATTTCCCTTTAAAAAAGGGAAAACGTTGACAGCTATGCCAGAACGCACTACTCTTTTTGCTGTGTTTAACTGAGCTTGTGCCTTCGCTGACTATGCCTAAGGATGAAGACAGGGACAAAAGAGAGTGGCCTTAAGTATGAAGTCACTGGACTACAGGAGTCCTAACACTGCTGAGCATGAAGTTTTAGAGAGAGACTGACACCAGCTACCCAGAGGGTATGTACAAAACAGCAGTGGTTCATACTGATTCCTCCTTGCCACAAGACTCATTATTAAGGCATCCAAGGGGAATGGAAAGTGATTACTCATAATGCCAGATCAGAGATAAAAATGCCAAGATTCTGGCATGGGTAAAAAGGGGTGGCGGAAGGAGGAGAGAAAGAGACTGTCCTACAAAACTGAAGGAAAGGTGACAGACGCCAGGGCTGCAAGCAAAGGTACTAAAAATACAAAGATGCACAGAGTCAGCAGTCTGGTGCCTTTTACCTGTGCTGAGAAGGTAGCTGCTGGTGTCGCTGGAGGTGGGGACTGGCTCTCTTCTTCCTCCGGAGAATCATCCAGGAGAACTTTGCCGCTCTTGTTGAGTTTCCACATTATTAGAGGGTGGCGAGGAGAAGAGAGGGATGTGGGGAGGGGGAGGGGAGGGGAGGAGGAAGAGGTGTAGCGGACAGGCGACTCTGGTCTTATTTATTCCTGAGAGTAGAAGGGAAAAAAGAGGGTTAATTTTTTTTTAATTATTTTTTTAAAAGGAGATGACTTTGCTCTTCAGCTCAACAAGCCCTTCTTGAGAGAAAATGAGCTTTCACAGAGACACATGGTCCAGGAAAGGGGATCCCAATGCAAGATAGACATGGGACAGGCACAAGGTGTGAGAAAGTGGGGGGACACAACCCCTTCCCTGTGCAGGCAATGCACCCCACTAAAAAAACAAAACCCACACCATCAGACCTCCACTGCCTCACAGTTCACGGCCCCCACCTTAAAAATACTGGGGGCCCAAGTTTCATCCCCTCAAGCAAGAAGTGCAGAAACCTCCCCAATGTGGCTGTGATGTGGGCAAGGGGGGGGGGGTTGGGGTGGGATGCACTCTGTACATACTCAGGGGGAGCCAAAGAGCCCGAAACAAAACGCGTTTTCCGTGGTGAGGTCCGGAAGGAGCCCCGATGCCGGAATGAGGGGTTTGGAGGAGGCACCGAGTGTGGGGCTGAGTCCTGACCCCCCACCCCCACGGCCACGCCTCCCCTTCCTCCTCTCCGGTGGGGAAGGAGAGGCGGTAGGAGCTCCTCAGCCTGAGAGGGCGCCGCTGTTTGAGAGTTGAGGGGAGAGGATGGGAGGGAAGGAAAAAGAAAGGAGGAGAAGGCCTGGCCGGGGCTGCCTTGCCACCTCAATTCCCCGCCCCGCTCGCCTCACCTGTGACCTTCCTTCGCGGCCGTCGCCGTCCCAGCCGCCAGCAGCACCGCAGCTGCAGCAGCAGCGCGGAGCCTCCGAGCGGCCGCTGCCATGTCTGCGGCTGACTGGGCGGCGCGAGGGGAGCGAGAGCCGTTGGGGTGGCGGGCGCGCGAGGGGAAGGAGGGAGGGCGTTCGAGCGGGCTTGCCTCGTCGCCATGGCAACCGCTGGGCCTTGTGGAAGGAGGCGAAGCCTGCCTGATAACCGGAGCTGGTCCTCCTCCTGCCCGTGTGTTTAAATAGTCGACGCATCATCTTTTCCCCACACACCCTGGCATAGGCGCCAACTCCTAGGGCCCGAGGTCCCTTTTGGCCTCGTCAAAGTTGATAGCCATGGCCGTTCAAATGGTGCGCGTAATTGTGATCCATTATGTAGGGTGGCGTTTACCTGCCCCCCTCCCATATTTTACTCAAGTTGGCACTCCTGCACCCCCTCCCCCTTTCCTCCCTCATACACACACAGGGGTGCCAACTTGAATGGAATAGTGGGGGTGGGGGTAGGCAGGTCAGCGTCGCCTTGCCTAATCAATCACATGACAGGGCACACACGCAATGCAATGCCCATCAAAAAAATGGGGGGGGGGGAGGAGGTGGGACCCAGCCACCTCAAATATTTTATTAGCCCCCTCAGTCTCTAGGAGTTGCCTCCCCTTCTGACTCACAACCAGGAGCACAGGGCTCACTTAGCTCATTCAGCAGCACCTCCCAATTACACTCCTTCTTTCTCCACTCTCTCCCCCCCCCAACATTGTGCATATATAGATACACACTCCCACCTACAGGTTCACACAACGCCCCCCCCAGCTCCATCCAGCTCCTCCAGATGAGTTCAATGCGTGTCTCGAACTTGTGAGCAGGGACACATCACGGTTCTCAACCTGTGGGTCCCCAGATGTTGTTGGGCTACAACTGCCATCATCCCTGAGCTCTGGCCTTGCTAGCTAGGGGTGATGGGAGGTGTAGTTCAACAACATCTGTGGAACCACAGGTTGAGAAAGGCTGGGAGGCAAAGAGAAGGGTGTGTGTGCACACATAACACACACATTGCACACGAACAAGAAGTCCTGTGGCATGTGAAAAGGGTGTCACACACTTGGTGTGGCAGGAGTCAGGCTGCGATTTTGTAGACTCTGCTCATGAACAGTGCCGGATTGATGTATAAGCTAAACAAGCTATAGCTTAGGACCCCACTTTCTTGGGGCCCCCCAAAAAAATTTAAAGGAAAAAAAAAGCCTAGATGTACATTTCCAAAATATAAGATAAAAAACAAATAAAATAAAACCTACATACAGCAACAGTGGCAAATCCATAAATTACCATATAGCATATATCCAACACCAAAAACAGCAACAATTTGTTGTTGACAAAGGACAGCTGGGCCCCATTACTTTCAGCAGCTTAGGGCCTCATCAAACCTAAATCCGGCCCTGCACATTGCACACGGACAAGGTGTCCCGTGGCATGTGAAAAGGGCGTTGCATGCTTGGTGTGGCAGGAGCCAGGCTGCGTGCTTTGTAGACTCTGCTCATGAATCAAAGAGCCAGCCTGCAAGGTGTGTCACAAGGCTGCTTGGGGTTATTTGTTCTGCAAGAAACTAAAACACAGCTCCTCCCAAAGTTGTTACTCCCGCCCCCCCCCCCCCCATGGACCAAAGAGACATTGAAGGTGTTTTGTCTCGTCCTTCACTGTTTATCCATCCCATGAGTTCCCATACAAGCTAGGACAGCTCCCATGGTGATCCATTTTCCATTTGCTAGTATTTATATATATATAAACATAAAAAAAATACAGGGTATAAAAGTAGTTTGTATTTAAGCTCATTATCAGCATTGAATCCAACTAATTTCCAGCAAATACAGAAATATCTTCTTACCCACTTAGTAAGCATCACAACAAATTAAAAAGATAAGTAATATATTTGAGGAATGTGGTTTCTCTCTTCAGTAATTAATGTATGTGGACCACTTGGGGCGAGGTGTCCTGCTGTAACTGTGTGTAGCTTAGGTCCAGCACCGAGGGCCTTCTGGCGGTTCCCTCACTGCGAGAAGCAAAGTTACAGGGAACCAGGCAGAGGGCCTTCTTGGTAGTGGCACCCACCCTGTGAAATGCCCTCCCATCAGATGTCGAAGAGATAAACAATTTCAGTGGTACCTCGGGTTAAGAACTTTATTCGTTCCAGAGGTCCATTCTTAACCTGAAACTGTTCTTAACCTGAAGCACCACTTTAGCTAATGGGGCCTCCTGGTGCCGCCGCACCACCGGAGCACAATTTCTGTTCTCATCCTGAAGCAAAGTTCTTAACTCGAAGTACTATTTCTGGGTTAGCGGAGTCTGTAACCTGAAGTGTCTGTAACCTGAAGCGTATGTAACCCGAGGTACCACTGTACCTGACATTTAGAAGACATCTGAAGGCAGCCCTGTTTGGGGAAGTTTTTAATGTGTGACATTTTAATGTATTTTTAATCTTTGTGGAAGCAGCCCAGAGTCGCTGGGGAAACCCAACCGGATGGGCAGAGTACAAATAATAAATTATTATTATTATTATTATTATTATTATTATTATTATTATTATTATTGCTATTATACATTGTTCAGCTACAGCAACGTTATAAAATTTGTTGCTCCATTCGCCTAGTGATGGTGGGTTTTTTATAAATGATTTCCAGTACCTAACATTACAAAGCTGTGCAACTGTTATAATACTGAAATTAATTCCTGTTTCTATGGTAGTACGCTTTAGGTTAATAAGAACATAATTGGGTCATACAGTAACCTACTTCTAATTATCTTTTCTACAGATTGTATAATTTCTCCATTTAAAAAATCCTGTGCATAATCACTGGTTCACTCCAAATTCAAAAAATAAAAAATAAAATAAAGGTTTCAACTGCTTTACTAATTTTTAAAACCTATACCCCACATTCAGGTGATTTTATGAAACAAAAAGAGCTAATTTTTCAACCATTTCAGCCAGATTTAAGCCCTTGTAACTACTTTGATAACTCCAGCTCTTAACTCTCTGAACTAGAAATTGCTGAAATACAATTTATTAGTATGTTTGATCAACTTTACTTAGGTCTTAATTGAGATAATGTTTTTCTTTTCTTTGTAGCAGGTGTTCAAACAGCATGACAAAGTTAGGAACATTGCATTATTACTTGTTATTGCTGTTAAGAAAAGTAATTTCTTAAAAATCTTACACTTAATCTTACATCGAATTGTCACAGACTGCACATCTTGCATTTCATGGTTATTTGGCCATCTTTTTACAATGTATAACTTTGTCTGTCTCTCTCTCTCTCTCTCTCTCTCTCTGTGTGTGTGTGTGTGTGTGTGTGTGTGTGTGTGTAAAACACTTTATGCATATCATCAAGTAAGCTCTAGTCTAGTGCACAAAGGTTTATGCTGCAACAAAGTTATAAGACTTTGCTATTTTTGCTAAAACAGACTAATAAGGTTACTCCTCTGAAAGTTTGTTTTATTTATTTTATTGACTGTATTTTTCCGTGTGTAAAACTATATTTCCCCCCCATTTTTTTCAAATTTAAAATGGAGGGGCGCTCGTCTTATACACGGATAGTGCATATGGGGGATTTCTTTATTTGGAGTCCCCAAAAATAGGGGGCGTGTTATACATGGGGGCATGTTATACACGGAAAAATACGGTAGTTAGTTAATTTTCTTTATTTCTACCTCCCTATTTGATTCTGCCACCCAAGACGGCTGCTTCACTGTGCCTCGTGGGCGGGCCAGCCCTGGGGATTGCCCAGTAATAATATTTTGAGGTATGGTCATAGGAAGCTTTCTTCTATTAAATCACTCCACTGGTCCATTTAGCTCAGCACTGTCTATGCTAACTTGGTAGCAGCTCCTCAGGGTTTCAGGCAGGAGTCTTTTGAAGCCCTTCCATTGAACCTGCAATCTTCTACATCCAAAATGTATGCTCTGCCACTAGGCTAGAGACTTTCCGCAGTCATTAAATTACTATGGAAATATCTTGCAACGCCTTTTGTTCCTCATTCAGGCTCAATGCACAAATATTAAGGAAGCAAATAGACAGCATATAACATTTCCAGCGTGCAGTAAATCAATCTTAAAAGTAAACTCTCTTTCTTTCTTTCTTTCTTTCTTTCTTTCTTCTTTCTTTCTTTTATTTTAGTTTTTCCATAAAGTGCATGCTTTGCGTTAAGTACCAAGCCTTGTGGGTTCATCTCACATTTCTGTTTCTAATCTTCCTTCATCTTATGTTTAATATTAGGCCTGTAAACCCCAAACTCTTAAAACATTCCCTCCTGTGGATAAACTTGTTTAAGTGGGTGCTAAAATAATAGTCTTATATCTGGTTACAGTGACATGTAAACTTACAAATTCTTTTTCTTCTGTGTGCGTAAATATTTTGCCTTGGGGAAGACATTTTGTTCTTTTAGCCTTCACATACTTCTAAGGTGATGGAACAGTATGAATCGCCAGGAAGTTTTTTCTTCTTCTCTCTGATTAATATCAGTGCTTCAAGCAAAGTAGCTTCACGAGATGAGAGCATTGTGTCATGCTTAGTGCAACTATATTATCCTTTTGTAAAGGATAAATGCAATAGATAAATGCAGTGTTTTCATTCTCTGAAACAGGTATAGTTCAACCACATACTTTCTAAATTACTGAAGGAAACCAGTCTTGGCTACTAATGGAACTGGAGAGACCACTTGTGATCAGGTAGAACCTGAACCCAGATCTCCATGGTCCAAGTTATCATCATAACAATTATGAACTTAGTGGCTATTCATGACACTGGACCTTCTGGGGTGTGGATCCCCAATCTGTGGGGCGTTCCCTCCCATCCCAATTCAGTCTTTCCTTCCTTCTTGAGATTCTGGTATGGTGTGAAGACATAC